TAATTCCAGACTTCCTTTCAAAACATCACGAAAACCGCTCGCGCTCCGCGCGAATTGGTTAGTTGTTCGTTGTCAGGTCCCGATGTTGCAAAAGTTGCCCCCGGGGGGGCGCAGCCCCCCCCAGATTTTTGCTAAGCCCCCACCCCCCAGGGGGGCGCACGCCTCAGAAGCTCCTGGGGTTCTTCTTCAGGTAGGGAATTAAGGAGTAGGGAGTAGAGGCCCAGCATCAGGCATTAATCATTAGCCATTAATCATTCGTCAATACGATGCAGCTGTGCAGGCTTCCTAGCTCCTAGCACCTAGCACGTTGCATCGCTGGGTCCAGCTCTCCAGCTTCCAGCTGCCAGCTCTACTCTCTACTCTATACTCTATAGCTTTGGGCATCTTATATTCTATAAACTATAACCTATAACCGAATGAATAACCAATAACCTCATGTAGCCATCGAGCTATTTAGAATCTAGAATTTAGAGCCTAAAGCTTAGAGACTACAGGGTTGGATATGCAGGTCATTGTGTCAATGCAAACCCTGTAGATTGGTCATAGACCATAGACTCCTTACTCCATAATATGATAATATGAATGATTGTGCAGTGTTATAGGCTATAGTCATAATACTACAGGCTATAGGCTATACGATATAGGCTATAGGAATCGCATTAAGGTGTTAAGTTTTAACTGTTAAGTGTTAGGACGGGGCCTCTAGGGCTTAGGGCCTAGGGGCCTAGTGCCTACCTAGTGCCTAGCCGCCTAGCCCATAGAACCATGGGCCGTCGTCGTCGACGGCGGCGTCGGGCGTCGGCGTCGAAGTCGGCGTCGGCGTCGTCTGCGGCGGCGGCGCCGTCGGCGCCGAAATCCGAAACCCGAAACCCCGCGTCGGCGTCGGCGTCGTCGCCGTCGTCGGCGGCGGCGGCGTCGGCGTCGGCGTCGGCGGCGGCGGCGGCGACGGCGGCCGCGGCGGCGTCGGCGTCGGCGTCGTCGCCGTCGTCGGCGGCCGCGGCGGCGGCGGCGTCGGCGTCGGCGTCGGCGGCGGCGGCGGCGACGGCGGCCGCGGCGGCGTCGGCGTCGGCGGCGGCGGCGGCGACGGCGGCCGCGGCGGCGTCGGCGTCGGCGTCGGCGACGGGGGGGTCTTCAAAACGCGCCCGAAACCGAACGAACGCGAAAACCGCGAGAGCATTTTTCTGAGCATCGTCAAATTGCGCCGAACCCGCGCGAGCATTTTTCGGAGCATCAAACGGAGCATTTTTTGAGCATAAATAATGTGTTCAGCATTTCCCAGAGATGAGCGGGACGGGTGCATCACAAACTTCGTCCTCAATGCTGCCGACGCGCTCGGGGGTGGCGACGAGCATGGCAGGCGTGAGCGGCTCCGAACATTCGGAAAGGGCAGCGTCCGAGCCGCTGTCGCCAGAGGGCGCCCTCATAGATGACAGGTGCGGCAGTACTCCGAGACGACGCCGAGGTGTGGCCAACAGCCGCGGCCCCGCCTGAAAGCCATCGGAGCCACTACCACATCCATCAGGGTCGAAGCTCAAGTAGTCAGTTCGCCCGCTTGAGGTCCCACTAATGCCTGGCGACGACGGGGCACAAGTGCATGACGAGCGTGACGAAGAGGAGGAAGAAGAGGAGGAGCCAAGCCGCGGCCGCGCGAAGTCCGACATCTTGAGAGCGGCCCGCTCCACGCTCGAGAGGCGCATCGGCGCCACCATCCACATCGCGCGCGCGCTCCTGCGAGAGCGCAGCTGGAGGTCTGGTTCTCGTCCACTGGCCACTGCTCGATTGTGCGGGTCACGTCGTACATGCTGTATGCCACCATCATCACCGCAACATTATCAATAGATGGGGACAGGAGGCACCAGCGGTGTAGTACAGGAAGTGGGAAGGACCTGCCCAGCGCCTGGCGCACCGCGGAGAACATCTTGGGGCAGCGGGCGTAGTGCTTGAGGGAGTCGGACGAGCCTGCACAGCCATACGCGCAGAGCCGCCGGCCGCCTGCATGAAGAAAGCGATGCGAGGTGAGCCATGCGTCAGACCAGGTCCGAATCGCAGCCCACACCCACGACGTCGGGCACCGCCTCAGTACTGTAACAATCGGGTCCCAATTAAACCCTCCAAGCACCGCACGATGTCGGGGTATCAGCTTCCGAAGTCTCAGCCCCAAAATGCCAGCTAGAGGTGCGGCGTCACGAGCCAACTCACGGAGAGCCCGATGCGCAACACGTTGAAGACGAGGGCGGCGGTCCACTGCCGCCAGAAGCTCCTCGCGGGCATCATCGCACGCAACGGGAACCATGGGCGAGAGCTGGCCAGGGAGGCCTAGACCAGCAGCAGCTTGCGCCAGCGTCTCCACATACGACTGAGAGCGCCAGAAGCGGGTGCAGGCGACCAGGCCGAAGCATGCACAGCGTACGCCAGTCGTCGTGCTCGTGGACAAAGGAGACCAGCGAGTCAAGGATCTGCGCGTGCTCGGGGAAGGTGACCGTGGAGGCACGCACCAGCGAGGCGACAGCGACGTGCCCCCAGCGGACGATGCGCGGGCCGCCCCACAGGTCCAGCTGCGCCCAGGACTCCAGCGAGAGGGCGCCGAGGAGCGAACGAACCCTGGGAGAGGCGCGTCGATCGATGGCTAGCGGGCACCGCCGTGCGCCGAGGAGGAGGAGGAGGAGGAGGAGGAGGAGGAGGAGGAGGATCCCACAGACTTTGCGTTCCCCGCCGCGGCCCCGGCCCCGATCGCGACCCGGCGCCTCCCCGCCCCATGGGGCTGCGTGGCGCCAGCCTCGAAGGCCCGGTCGGCCCCCGGGAGGCTCCCCCGGAAACTCCGCGAGAGGCGCGGGACGGGGGGGGGCCTCGAGCGACAGGGGAGGAGGCGCGAGGGGAGCGAGGAGCAGGAGAGGAGGAGAGAGGAGACGGACGAGGAAGACGAGGCCCCCATCCCTCCATCGTCGCCATCGTTCCTCCATCGTCGCATCCCCCCCTTCGTCTCCACGCCTCTGGTTCCGCCCCCTCTCATCTATTTCTTCTTTTACTCAGCGCGGGCGCGCGTCAACATACACCTCGAATCGCCCCTCCGAAGCCCTAGACACTTGAGCCAACATGGCTACGGACAAAAGAGGAGGGGGAGGGGGAGGAAGAGGAGGAGGAGAAGGATGAGAAGATTAGGAGGGAGAGGACCAGTGTAAACCCAAGATTAATCAACTATGTTCCAATCAATCCTGCCTCCAAGTTCCCTCTTCGCAGACCCCTCCAAGGATTCAATTTCACTGAGAGAAGGCCCCGTTGGAAGACAACAGTGCGAAAATCCAGAACTGTGCCAAAACAACGTTCTTGGGACATCAACGCCACGAATCACCGCTACTGTTGCGCTTTGATGATCATGATTTGTGCCAGAACGCCTTTCCTGGGACTTCAACACCACGAATCAACGTGACTTTCGCGCCCTGACATTGGGACACCATGCCAAAACACCATGTCCAAGACGTTCGCCATGAGAATCCTTGAAACAGCTGCAAGCTCTCAAGACGAATGTGCGCGAGGTTGAGGCGAGAGCTACATTTTGAAAAAGAACCGCCCTCCATCCGTGAAGCTCTTGCAAATTCTTCAAACAAATGTGCGCGGCGCTGAAAAGAGATCCACATTTAGAAAACGGCCCGCCCTCCATCCGTGAAGCTGGGAGGTTCCTCACAGCGTCTTCGGCGCCAGATGACTCCAAGAGGGGGGTCCCTTTCTGTCGTTTCTGACCCTCTTGCCCCCCCCCCCTCCCTCTTGCGACACCCCCCGCTCCTGTACGTGTTTTGCTGTGTTGTTGCATCTGTTGTGTTCTCTGTGTGTGGGGGTGTTTTGTTGTTGTTGCTTATTCTTCTTCTTCTTCTTCTTCTTCTTCTTCTTCTTATTGTATATGGTTGCGTCCAGCGTGTTTTTGTTGTTAATTCTGCTCTTGCTGTTTCTTGCGCCCGGGGGGCGGAGGAGGTCAGGGAAGGAGCAAATGACACCCGCCCGTCTTTTTGCGTCGGGGGGCGATTTCGGGCCCCCAGGGCCGTCGAACCATAACTCAGGGTGGGCCGTCGAACTGCAACTCAGGGTGAAGCGCTGGTCCCTGGGAAGCCTGCTCCAGGCGGGGCAAGGAGCCTCCCAAGGAGCCTCTAACGGCCCCCAAGAGGCCCAAGGAAGCTCCCAACAGGCTTCCAAGAGGTCCCCTGGAAGTTCCCAGGAGGCCATAATAGTGCCCCAGAAAGCTTCCAAGAGGCCTCCTCCTCATTCTTCTTCTCCTCGTTGTTCCTCCCTCGTCTCCTCGGTTTGTTTCTCCCCCACGTTTTCTCCGAAGCGTTCCACAACGGCTTGTGGAACACATGGTCCGATAACTTTACCGAGCTCTGGCCACAACGCTCGGCCGCATAGGCGTTTCCAAAAAGCAAAGGGCGGCGGTGATTCGCCGTCAGCGTCTTCGCTGCAACATGGTATGGATTTTGCGGCGGCCCGTCTCCGCGACTGGCTGTCAGACTCCAGCTTTCTTTCAAACTCGTGGCGAACGATGAACACACTCTCCTGTTCTGTGTTGGTTCTATACCAAGGCCAGTCGAGCGACGACGTTATTCTCGAACGTATGATGAAGAGCTCCTTGCTGCAGGCGGGGGTGGCACCCCCAGATCGCAAGCAGTGGGGGCACGCGAGACGACGTCAGCGGAATCATTGCTGCTGCTGCTGCTGGTCCTCCTCTATTTCCTGGTAACTCCTGCTGCCCGTCCCCGTTTCCTTCCCTGTTCTTCTCTTTCCCGTCCCCTTGTCCCCCCACCTCCTCTCGTCCTCGCCCGCCGCCCCTCTCCTCTTCCGCTCATTGTTGCTGATGCTGCTGCTGCTCCTCCTCCTCCTTCTCCTCCTCCTCGTCCTCCTCCTCCTGCTCCTCCTCCTCCTTCTCCGCCTCCTCCTCCTCCTCCTCCGCCATCCCCTCCCCCCTGTTCATCGCACAACTTCCCGCGCGCATCGGATCGAAGTTCGCGCGCTGCCTTCTCCGTGGGCTTGAACATCTTCGGGGAAATGCCGATCTCCTTCCAATTGCTGCAGCTCTTTCCTGCGCCCGCCTTGTGATACTCCAACGGCTTCGGCTCCACCAAGACGTAATCGTCCCTGCGACGAGCGGGGGGCAGAAGGAGGAAACGATGGTGGGCCGGGAAGGCACAACAGGACGCAGGCGTCAGACAAGTATGCAAAACCAGGTGACTATCGCTTGGAATGCCGCTTCGTAGCGCGAATGAATGCAATCATGTTGTGGCGGTCGGCTCCAAACAACAAATATGTTTCGCCGGTGGCGTGGATAATGGTAACTCAACTATTAAAGACTGGTTACGTGCCAGCCATTTGGCCAATTCTGCGCTCAGGTATGCGGCCCACTTCTATGATTTGGAGTTCGGCACATAATGTACATATCTTACGTCCAATGTAGGTCACCACGACTTTCATTCCCGAAAACTTACTTGTGTCTAACCACTATTCCACAGCTTGCCAGCGGTAAGGATAGATGTGCCAAACCAAACTGTTCTTTCATACCGGTTGGATCCCCGACGCATCTCCTATTCCGAATCCAGCTCGGTCATGGTCGTGCATTTCCTCCTCCTCCTCCTCATCCTCCTCTTCCTCCTCCTCCTCCTCCTCTGCCGCCTCTTTCTCCTCAGCTGCCTTTCCTCCTCCTCCTCCTCCTCCTCCACGTCCTCCTCCCCCCCAAAAAAGCCTGGGGGCACCCGGATGGGCCCCCGCCCCCGTCACTCAGGGGGGCCCCCAGGCATTGGGGTGATGGTCCCGGGTCCCTCTCCAGCCACTGCCTGGACACAGCCTCTTTGAGGACTGGCCCCGTGGCACTCCTGGCCTGGCTTCGTATTATTGAATAGCCGACGCCAAATTGCCAGGACGTCGCCGAGATAATTGCATACGCCAGAGCCGCAGTCATCCGCCAATGCCTTGTCGCGCTGGATGTTGGTCGGGGTACCTGTCGCCGCACCTCGGCGAACACCTTGCCCCAGGCCGCTTCATCGACGGTGTGCCCGTAAGCTCGGACGAATTCTGCGGTTTCGTCGGACGGGTGGCCCAATGTCTCGATGGCCAAAAGGGCAAGGTCACCTCCGCTGAGGGCGGGTACCGGATGCGCTTCTCCCGGACGATGGATGATGCGGCCACGCCGTCGTTGTTGGACTGGGCTTGCCTGCGAGAGAGGCGTGCTCTGACAATTCGCAAGGTATGATCCAGTCAACATGGACGGACCAACCAGTGACTAGATCCGTGGTCGCGACGCCCAGGTTGACAGCCTCCAGCACGCCTGTTAGCTGGTTGACGCGGTCTCACGCTAAGACACACTGCTCCGTGGCCGTGGCGAAGCCAGTGAAGGTGGTGCGCAGCTGTGCGTGACAATCCGGCGTGCGGTCATAGCGGGCGGTGCGGCACTGTCCAACTCCGCAAGACCTCGCGTGCCACCCGGAACCGTCCAGTGGCGCGCTGCAGACGGCACCGTCGCCTCGGTGGTGCTGGCACGAGGCGCCCAGCGGGCAGACGTAGCACGGGAAGCGAAAATTCATGGCGGTGAATAGTGTTTGTCGAGCATGGCCAGGTCGCCCTCCTCGCAAGGCAGAGCGAAGCCGCTGGCCCCCGTCCCGCTGGCGCCCGAGCGCCAGGCGGTCGTCCTCACCGAGCGCGCCGAGAAGCTTGGCTCTGATGGCCGCGGAGCACGCCTCCCCCCACCTGCCTTGCAGCTTGGGCACAGGTTCTTAGAAGCAGCACAGCCAATCATATTCGCTGCTTTCTGTCCCTTGGGAGCGCAGGTTGGCGCCAGACTTCATGAGAGCGTGGTGTGTCAGGGGGCACTGCACCGGGAAGTCCTCCAAGCTCTGAAACCCCAGGCCCGCGCGACCTCCTTCTGGCCGAGAGCCCAACTCGCCGCGTACGCTGATGAGGAGGCGGCCCGGGGCGAGAGCAAGTACATCCCGCCGCCCTCGAAGCACATGGTGGCCCGTGCGCGCTGCCCGGGATCCAGCGAGGTCCCGAGAAGCTGCTCCAGGCAGCCAGAGACTACATTCCCGAACTGGTCCACCCTACCCAAGATAGGTCGCGATTGGCTCGCAGATGGTGCGACGCTGCGCCTTGGGCAGAAATTTGGAGGAGCGAGGAAGATGCCTCGGCCGCGAGCCCCGCCGCGCGAGACACCCGGAGCTGCCCCGCGAAAGCGACGGCGTTGGCCACAGCAGAGGCGCCGTCAGTTCTGGCGTGGACACGGACTCGCCCGTCCGCCTGGTCCACCCACGGCGCTGCGTTGCCGAGACACTTCAAGTGCAGCACGCGGCGGTCGGCCAGAGCGGGGGGGAGGTCCGAGCGGGCGTCTTTGGTCCAAGCCGGCGTCGGGTCCTGCCCCTCTTCCTCCTCGATCCTCCCAGAGCTTCGACGTCGTGCTTTTTGTTCACAACGTGGACCCACAGAGGTCCCGACACCTTCCCCCCGACCGGCTTCTCTCATCCAGAACCGTTTTCCGATGGTCTCGGGGCCAACAAGGACCCAAGGGAACAAGAAAGGCCGTGTGTTGTGATAATTCTATCGACGCGAAGAAGTCTCCGCCCCTCCTCCTGAGCAGGGGCTGGCCGTCCCGCAACCCCTTACAAGCCTGCCACGACAAGTTCTGATAGCAGAAGAACGTTCTGATAACACACGCGCTGCTCTTTGACCAAAACACCGAGGCTTTCAAACTGGAATGCCTCTGCCAACTATGTTTTAATAACATACAGAATGAGTCCCACCAAGTTCTTCGGACTTGTCCGTGGGCCTTTAGGCAGACGAGGGCGCTCCGTCACCCAAGCACGCGCGAACATGGATTAGGGAACCGTTGGCTTGGGCGTTGTCGCCAAATCCATGGATCGGGCAATGCTTCCCTCCCCCGAAACATGAAGCCAATGCCGCTTCATTTTGGGACTGAACGCGCCGATTCTTTACAGAAGCGACACCCGTCGGTAAAGCACGCGCTCGAAAGGCTCGGGACGTCAAGCTCGGAAATGCGAAGTAGTTAGCGCGGTGCGCCGAAGCGCGGTGAGCCAGAACCAGCGGCACGTCACGCCAAGCAGAAGCTCCCGACCGTAGATCTTCTCGGTGGGCATATAGGCAGACGAGGGCGCTCCATCACTGCTGCAGCCTTGGCTCCTGTTCCGTTGCACCGACATTGTCCGTATGGACGCTGCAACAACGGAGGCGTTCGCGATCAAAACAGGGAGAACGATCGCAGCGCAACGTGCAATCGACCTGGGGTCGATGTACCGATTGCCCAAGTATGGGCAGACTGCCTTCCCCGAGAGGAATGAGGGGGGCGGAGAGAAGAGGAGAGGTAGAGAGACCCTCTCAAGCGTAGGTAAGGCAGAGATCGCTGTCTGTAACTTCAGGTAACGGTCGTGACCCGGGGAAGGAGGGGGGCAGGTAATGGTAATGCTTTGGGGGGGTGGGGCACGTCGGGGTCGGGGTGCGCTGCAATTCCAATACTACGCGCGCGTCCAGCAATTTTTCTTTGGGGGGGCCAGGTCCGCGTGTGTTTGAAAAGTCTAGGGCCTGAAAGGGCTCAAGAGTTTGAGCGCTTGCGGACTTCAGGGGCTAAGGGCTTAAAGGCCTAAGGTGTTTGAGGGTGTAAGGCCTTGCAACGGTGAAAGGTTCAAGGGTTTAAATGCTTGAGGGCTTACGGGCTTAAAAGTTTTAATGGCTTCAAGATGTAAGGTTTGGAAAGCTCGCGGATTCAAAGATAACAACCCGCTGTGCACAGCCTATCGAAAGGCCGATGACAGGCCTATGCTAAGGCTATGCATACGCCTACGGCGCATGCTCCCGCAGGCCCCTGAGAAAGACTATCGATGGGCCTGTCATAAGCCTATGAGCAGGCCTGCACAACAGGCCTTTCGACAGGCTGCGCGCAGGCCTATGACCAGCCTATCGGTAGGCCGTGCGCACCCTACGACAGGCCTACGCATAGGCCCATGCACAAGATGTCCGTGAGGCGATTTTCAGCCTGAAGCGGGCGTGTGAATGTGCCCAAGGCCCCCGCGGTAGACCTACGAATGGCCTACGCATGGGCCTGTCATAGGCCTATGCACAGCCTGCGCACAGGCCTCCGATAGGCCCGGGCGTAGCCTATGTATATGCCTGCGGCAGGCTTGTAAAGAGGGTATAAACAGGCCCCAGCAAGGCCTGTCGGGAGACTCTTCAGGGGGGGATCCCATGGGGGGATAGGATCCCAGGGGGGGGATCCCATAGGATCCCCTGGGGATCCCATGGAGAGTCTCCCGACTATGGTAGGCCTATGCGTAGCGCTGTGGGTAGGGTATGGACAGGCCTGTAGAAGGTGCGCCGCCGGCCTATTCATAGCCTGCGCACAGGCCCGCACCACGAGCCTACGACAGCCCTACGCATAGCCTACGCAAAGCCCCACCATCGGCCTGCGCATAGGCTGTGCACAAGCCTATAGTAAGCTCAATAGAGCTCCGAGGAAGGCCCCCGGGTCGAGGCCTTCGGGCACCACGACCGCCGGAATCACACCCCAAGAGAGTTCCAAAAGAGAGCCCCAAGTGCGGCGTACAATTGCACACCGTGCTGGGGGCCTCATGGAAGTCTCCCAGGGCTCACTACGGGCCCTGCAGGCAATATTTTTAAGCACCCAGGGGCCCCGAGAAAGCAATAAGACGGCTCCAAAACGGCTCCAAGAAGGCCCCAAGACTGTCGTGCAATTACAGACCGTACTCGGGGCCATCTTGAGGACCTCGGGCGGCACATGTGGGATCCACTGAGGCAACATTCTCACGCCCTAGGAAGCGCCGAGAGGGATCCCAGAACGGCACCACGAAAGTTTCAAGAGACCCCAGGACGCATTTGCAAATACACACCATACTTGGGGCCGTCTTGGTTGCCTGAGCCCTCCTAGGGCCCACACAGACAACGCGTTACGGCCCAGGAAGCGCCCAGATGACCCCAAGACAGCCACAAGAAAGCTCCAAGAGGGCCCCGAGAAGAATGTGTAATTGCACACCGCATTGGGGGCCATCTTGTCGCCCTCAAAGGGCCTTCCTGGGGTCCTCACGGTGGCCGCTGGGCGACCACCTGGAAGCCCGGAGGCGCAT